GTCGTGCGGGCGGCTAGGGCAAGGACAGCAGCGAGTGAGTCAGGGCGGCAGGCATTCGTCTGTGAGGGCGCGGGTGTGTCTGTGGAGCGAGGGTCGGAGCGGAGGGCGGCGGCGGACCTCCTCCTTGGCCGCCTTCTCCGCTGCCTTGGCCGCCTCCTTCTCCACCTTCTCGTTGGCCGCCTTCTCCTTGAGGAAGAGCTTCTCCGCCTTGGACATCTCCTTCTTCGGCGCGCCAGCGGCGGCGGCGGCGGCGGCGGCGAGCGCCTTCTCGCGCTTCTTCTGCGGGGAGCAGGTTCGCGGGAGGGTGGGAGGGCGGTGAGAGAGTGGGCGACGAGCGACAGGCGGGGCTGCCCGGCCGCGGGGCGGCGGAGGCGAGGGAGGTGGCGCAGGAGTGAGGGCGGCGGCAGGCGACGTGGGTGGTGGTGGAAGCGGTGCAGTCGTGAGGGAGGCGGTGGCGAGGGCGGAGCGGATGGCGCGGATGGCGGTGGCGGCTGCGAGAAGTTTGCGGCGGCGATGGGCGCGACGAGGGCAGCTGCGCGCCTGCTCGGCGAGATGCATCCGCTCGCACTTGGAGATGAGCTTCTTGGGAGCAGCTGCCTTGCCGCCGGTCTTTGGGCCGATGCTGGGCGGAGGTGCGTCCGGCTTGGGCGGCGGAGCCTTGGCGGCTGTGCCGGGGGCCTCGTTCTCGGTGGCGGGCGGGAGGTTCTCGGTGGCGGGCGGGAGGGCGTCGGTCGACATGCTGGTGCGAAGAAGCGTGTTAGGACAACGGACTTTCGGAAGGCGCGAAGCCAGCCGAATTTCTTTTTCATGAGCTCATCGATGTTCTCTCTAGCGCACATACATAACGAAGTACGCCGAATTTCTTTTTAAGGTGGCAGTCAGGGTTTCGCGGACGGGTGTCGTCCCACACGATGGCATCACGCTCGCACATATGCCGACCGCCGCCACCGCGGCGCCGGCCACAGGCCAGCGCTAGGCAGCTGCCGGCCACACCGGGCCGGAATTGCCGGTAACCGTCGCCGCACACTCCTGCGTCCACGCCGCTGTGACGTCTGGCGACGAGGCGCCGGCCGCCAAGCTTCATCGCCAACGGGGGGGGCGAATCGCGCAATTTCTTTTGAGCTAGCCTTCGATGAAGAAAAACAAACGCAAGGCGGACACATGGCATATGCTCTCGGGCCCGCAGACATCCCGCACACCCGCCGCCCCCGCGCGCGCCCCGCCCCGGCCGGGAGAGCTGCTTCATTCGCTGGTCAGCCACTCAGCGGCCTGGACCAGGCGATACACTCGCGAGAGGCTGCGCGAGCTGCGCGCGGCGCTCGGCTGGCAGCTGCGGACCGCCGGCAGCGGCGACGTGTCCGACGATCTGCGATTTCTTTCCCCATTTCTCCGTCCGAGCGATGGGCGCGCGCGCGGGGGGGGGGGGAGCGCGGGGGCGGGGGGGTGCAGGCGTGGGCGGCGCAGGCGCGGTGTGGGAATTCCCGCTACTCGCTCGTATTTGAGGTGCATCCACCAAGCCGAGGTGCTGCAGGCTACGGTGTGGGACGGGGCGGCGTGCGGCGCGCGCCACCTCCTTGCCGCTTGGCTGCGTGGTGACGTGTCCCCACTTGGCAGTGCGCAGCCCGAGGCGGTTGAGCGCGCGGTCGACGGAGCTCGTGCCCGTCGTGCCTAGCCCCGCGCAGATGATGATCGTCTTGTTGGCGGCGGCGGCGGTCAGCTGCTGCTGCTGGGCTTGGCTGGGCATCTCGAAGTTGTGTGCGCGCGGAAGAGACCGGCGGCCGGGGGACCCTCGCGGTAGGCCTCCAGCCGCCGCCGCCTTGCGCAGGCGGCCACCAACTCGTCGTAGTTGGGGGGGGTGGCGGGGGGGGCAGCCCCGCCGAGTTGACGGGCGGGCGGCTCGTATTCGGCTCAGTTGCATATCGACGGGAAGCGTCGCGCTGTCGAGGGTGGTGTTGGTCTCTTCGTCCGAAAGCGTCCAGAATGGATCTCCTCGTCCATTGCCGCAGCTGCAGTTGTACGCTGGTGCGCCCTCCGGGTAGCCGCAGCAGAACGGGGGCCGTCGGCCGGCACAACGGAATACGCCTCGGGCTCGGCAGTTTTGCACCCAGATTGAGCGTGACGTGCCAAGGCAGCCGAAGCTGACGCCGCGCTCGCACCTGGCGAAACTGTGCTGCTCCACCAGTAATACCCCGCAAGGCATTCGCGCCAGTGAGGAGAAGGATGCGGAGGGCCGCGCGAATGCGATCGACGTCGACGGGCTGAGCGGCGAGGCGGGCGGCAGCGAGGCAGAGGCGCGGAGCGGAGCGGGAAGGTGGTGAAGGAGATCTCGCTGGAGGAGGCGCGGCGGACCGCCGAGCGGCTCGGGCTCCGCCTTCCCTCCCCGCTGCCCGGCGCGGCGTGAGAGGCAGCACTCTTGTAGATGGTCTATGAGAGCACGCGGAGCACATGTTCTCCGTGCGAGAACCGAGCCGGGAGGGGAGGTGTTTAGGGGGTGGGGGGGTGGGGGTGCGGGCTAAGTGGCTGTTGCGCGGTGCCGGCTGAGGAATGCGGGGGAGAACGGCGCGGCCCGAGCGAGTCACCGTGGGTGCGGCGCCGCTGTCGCCGAAGTCTCACCTCGCGGTGCCATGCAGCCATTTGTGCGCGTGCGCGGTCCATGCTCCGAGCTCATGCAAGAGTGTCCTTATTGCCGCGAGCCAGTGTCGAGATGTGGCTCGCCCCGCTCGCCCGCTGATGTGTACTTTAAAGCCGATATGCCTGGGAGGCCTGAGCTGTTTCGGCCCCGGTGCGATGTCGTTGACGAGGTAGTCCTCCCCCTCCCACCAACCTGTCCAAGAAGGTCCGTCGAGCCAACCAGTCGTCTTGCCAGTCCCCGCACTTCCCGTGCCTGTACTGGTCTGAGGACGCCGGTGCTGGCCGCGAACGACAGGCCGATCGCCCTGAGTTGCCAAAAACGATTTTTTGAAAACAGACTTCGGCGCGCTGAACACTTCGGCGGGCGCAATGTCGCAGCTCCCCAGGTTACTGCTCCTCGCGCTCCTGGCGCCCGCCAGGGGCATGCTGGTGCTCGAGAAGGTGAAGGTGCTGATGGACGACATCAAGGTCTGCGCCTCCCGATGGTGCCGCGCCCAGCGGGGACACCCTGCGCGCCCGCCGTCGACCGCAGCCGCAAACAAAGCCAGTCCAGAGGGGGCCGCCGCGCGCGCCGCGTCGCCAAGCCTGGACCTCCCGTCCGTTCCGCCCCGCCGCCCTGCCACCCTCGCCTCCGGACAGCCTGCCCCGAACACTCCCCGAAGTGAAGGGCGGCGCGCCGGCGCGCCTTTCGCACCGCACCCGGGTGCACACCAGCGAGAGGTCCGCCGCCTCTCCGCAGGCGTCGCGCGAGTGGATCTCGAAGATCCATCCTGTCTGGAGCTTCATGACGGCCGAGGAGGCGACGCCCTCCTCTCCCCTCCTCTCCCCCCTAGTCCTCTCTTGTGCGCCTCTCTCCCTTGCCGCCACAGC